TAGTTAGATGTTTGTGGCCCAATCGAAGTGGAGTCACTTGGCGGCCGCAAGTATTTCCTGACCTTTATTGATGATGCTTCAAGGAAGTTATGGGTGTATTTTTTGAGGACGAAAGATGAGGTATTCCAGTACTTTCAGGAGTTCCATACAATAGTGGAAAGAGAGACTGGGAAGAAGTTGAAGTGTTTTTGCACAAACAATGGTAGCGAGTACACTTCCAATGTTTTTGAAACATATTGTGCTAATAGAGGTATCCGACACGAGACAACAGTTCCTGGTACCCTACAACACAATGGTGTGGCAGAGAGGATGAACCACACTATTATTAAAAGAGCCAGATGCATGCTCAGAATGGCAAAGTTGTCAAAGTCACTCTAGGTTGAAGTTGCCCGTACAGCATGTTATCTCATCAACAGGTCACCTTCAGTCCCGTTAAATTTTGCAATACCTGAGGAAGTCTGGTCCATTAGAAAGGAATCATATTCTCACTTGAGAATCTTCCGGTGTAAGGCGTTCGCACACATCTCCAAAGAAAATAGACAGAAGCTTGATAATAAGTCCACTCCATGTATATTTGTGGGCTATTCAAATGCAGTATTTGGGTACAAGTTGTGGGACTCAATGAACAAGAAGATGTTTAGGAGCAGAAATGTTGTGTTCCAGGAAGACCAGACAGTAATAGATTTTCAGAAGTCTACAAAGTCTAGAGATGTCGTCACTCCATACTTGTTCTCATCTCCCGAGCTATCACAAAATTCTAGATGTGATGATATGCAACAAGAAGTGCCAGAGTTGTAGGATCCTATTCCAAAATTTGAGGATCAAGAGGAAATAGATAAAGATCTGGATGAAGAGGGTGTTGAGTAGGGGGAGCAACCCCCTCAACTAGAGGTAATTGGGCTTCAATTGTTGAGATCTAAAAGAGTTGTTGTGCCATCAACCAAATATCCCGCTTCTCAGTATATTCTGATTACTGATGAAGGGGAGCTTAAGAGTTTTTCAAAAGCAAAGAGTCATACAGAGAAAGATTATTGGATGCAAGCCATGAAGGAGGAGATGAGTTATTTGCAGAAGAACCACACTTATGAGCTTGTTTCACTTCTAAAGGGCAAGAAGGCATTGAAAAACAAATGGGTGTACAAATTGAAGAAAGATAGCAACGGTAAAATACTGCAACATAAAGCTCGCTTGGTGGTCAAAGGTTTTGGACAGAAGAAGGGAATTGATTTTGATGAGATCTTCTCCCCAGTTGTGAAGATGATTTCTATTCGAGTAGTTCTGGGATTAGCAGCTCGGTTGAATCTGGAGGTAGAACAGATAGATGTCAAGATTGTCTTTCTTCATGGTGATTTGGAGAAAGAGATCTATATGGAGAAACTAGAAGGATTTGAAGTTAAAGGGAAACAAAATCTAGTTTACAACCTGAAGAAGAGTCTCTATGGCTTGAAGTAGGCGCTGAGACAATGGTACAAGAAGTTTGATTCATTCATGGTGGATCACGAGTACACAAGAACGGTAGCAGACCAATGTGTATATTTCTTAAGGTTTTCGGATGGAAACTTTATCATCCTACTGTTATATGTCGATGATATGCTGATCATCGGACATCATACTACTATGATCAAAAAGTTGAAAAAGGACTTATCGTAGTATTTTGACATGAAGAATTTAAGCCTAGCACAACAAATTTTGGTCATGAAGATTGTTCATGACAGGGAAGCCAAGAAGATATGGCTGTCACAAGAGAAATATGTTGAACGAGTGATTGAAAGGTTCAACATGAAAGACGCCAAGCCAGTCAGCACACTACTAGCCAACCATTTCAAGGTGACAAAGCATTCATGTTCCACAACGAGCTCTGAAAGGAAAAAAATGAAGGCAATCCCTCATTCTTCTGCAATAGGAAGTTTGATGTATACAATGGTGTATACCCGGCCATATATAGCTCACGCAGTTGGCGTTGTAAGCAGATTCCTCACCAATCCAAGAAAGGAGCATTGAGAGGCACTCAAATGGATTCTTCGGTACTTGAAGGGAACTTCAAAGATGTGTCTATGTTTTGGGCGAGCTGAACCAATTTTAGAGGGTTTTACAGATGCCGATATGACGGGTGATCTTAATGGTAAAAAGTCTACATCAAGATTTTTATTCACCTTTGTAGGGGGAGCTGTTTCATGGCAATCCAAACTACAAAAGTGTGTTGTTTTATCTACAACAGAGGCAGAGTACATTGCTGTCGCAGATACTGGAAAGGAAATGTTATGGTTAAAGCGATTTCTCCAAGAATTGGGTCTACAGTAGGAAAAGTACAAGGTACATTGTGATAGTCAGAGTGCAATTGATCTGAGCAAGAATTCCATGTACCATTCATGTACAAAGCACATTGATATCTGGTATCATTGGATACGAGAAGTGATCAAAAAGCAGCTGATGAAGTAAGTGAAGATTCACACAGACAAGAATCCTTCTAACATGATGACCAAGGTTGTCACCAGAGACAAACTCGAAGTGTGCAAGGACATTGCTGGGATGGACTTCCAGTAAGGATCCTACTCTCCATAGGTGTGGAGGGAAAAAATTGTTAAAGATCCACACCTATGTGAACTTGGCTATGGAAGTCAAGTATGGAGGCTACAAACTTGTTGAAGTTTTTCAAACCTAGGGTGGCTTGCCATTAACTTTGGTAGTTGGTTGTTGGCAAGCAGAGGTTGAGTTTGGCTCTCCCGTTTGTGTATAAAATGGGAAGAGTTGTGAGCTTAAACAATAAAAAAATAAACAGAGACAACACAAAATGTATAATCTGTGTGAGTGAGAGAGTTCTATAGAGAGTTGTGAGGTGTGAGTTATAATATCGCTCCGGGATAATTCTATAGCAGTAATCTCTCTATGTGGACGTAGGCAATTGCTGAACCACGTAAATAGCTTGTGTCTTTTCTGTGTGTGACTGATTTCTGGGTGTGCATTAATCCTAACACTACACTTGCTTAAGAGCATATATATTATTATTACACTATATTTAAATTTTATATTTTGATAATTTTTTAAAAATTAAAATATTATTTTATGAAATTGAATAGAATAAATTATTAGATATATAATAGAATTATATGATATAGTATGTATTATTTTTTGATTTATTATATAACCAATGATATAGACTCAAATTTTATTACCATATCATTTTGGGTGAACTTATGAGTCTTTAATATTTCTTTTGAATTTATGAAAAAAAATTATGATGTGTAACTTTTTTCAACAGATAAATACAAAACAAATACTAAGATAATTCTTCCATCTAAAAAAACTACTAAGATAATTCACTGAATTAATAAAGAAGCAAAAGAAAATAGGGGAACTTACTGATAAGTCCCATGTAACAAGTTCAAAACCCAACTAATCCCAAAACAAAATACTTGCACCAATTAGTCCAACACATTTTTAATTGTTACCAAAAAATCCTTTTTTTTTTTTAATTTATAGACACCGTTCACATCTTACTACCGTCGGACTTCCGTTTAACAGTCGCCGGAGACTCACCGGAATGTCTAGAATATTGCCGGAAAAAAAAAATTAAAAAACATGTTATGAAACTGTAAAATTTTACAGTTCTAAAGAATGTTATAAAACTGCAAAATTTTACATTTTTAAACCATGATTCATTCCAGCACCAAAAAAAATATTTGAAACTGCAAAATTTTACAGTTTTCACCGCCTGTAACTAAAACTCGAAAACTGCTTGTTCAGAATTCGAAAATTTTCTCCATTAGAACAGAAAAACAGAAGTGTATAGCAGAGAGAGAAAAAAAAAAAAGAGATCGAAGGGGAAAGACGGATGTCTAACCAAATCTGTGTAGATCTACTCAGATCTTATGTAGATCTGAGTAGATCTATATCAGATCTAAGTAGATCCATTCATCTTCTACGTCGGAAAATATATCATCTTCTTCGTCGGAGTTGATTTCAATGCTTGGTGGTTATCAATGAACCCCGATCAATGGAGAAAGATATGATCAATAGTATGTATTATTTTTTAATTTATTATATAACCAATGATATAGACTCAAATTTTATTACCATATCATTTTGGGTGAACTTATGAATCTTTAATATTTCTTTTGAATTTATGAAAAATAATTATGATGTATAACTTTTTTCAATAGATAAATACAAAACAAATACTAAGATAATTCTTCCATCTAAAAAAACTACTAAGATAATTCACTGAATTAATAAAGAAGCCCAAGAAAATATATATATATATATATATACACAAATAACTAATTTTATTAATACATAAATCATACTCACATAATGAATGACCAATTTTATTAATAAGTAAATTGATAATTTGTAATGATATGAAAAATATTTTTCAATTAACCATTTTGTTAATAAATAAATCATTAAGTCAATTAATATTTTTTAATGATATGAAAAATAATTTTTAATAAACAATTTTAATAATTTATTATTGCATAGGAGAATTAGTTTTTTTTTCCTTGAATATTTTGTTAAATAAAAATTTATAACAAGCAGTTGTTGTAATTTCTAGTATTATAGGATCAATTCTTATTTTAAATAAATCTTATAGGTGTATTTATAATTTATTAAAAAATAAAATATTTATATTTCATAATTGATCAAGAATATTTGCATAATTACAAAAAAATCTATTTCATGATTGATTAAAAATGTTTACGTAATTACAAAAAAATCTGTTTGATAAATGACTAAGAATTAAGAATGTTTACGTAATTACGAAAAAATCTGTTGCATAATTGACTAAGAATGTTTGTGTAATTACAAAAAAAAACCTTTACTCAATAGGTAAGTCATCATTAATAAATTATTCAAAATAAAAAGATAAAATCTGAAAAAAAAAAATAACAAACAAACAAACAAATCTCAAGTAATTAAGCCATATTTATATATATATATATATAAGAAACTAGAATGAAGGGTAATGGAGAGGGAGAGGAAGAGGGAGAGAGAGAACTCACAGTGGTTCTCCTCAGCTCAGCGGCTATAGCCAACGCAAACGCAATTACATCGAATGCGAACACCACCACGATCAGTAATTTTGACGCCATTGCAATGAAGCTCTCCATCACTTACACCCCCAGATATAGGTCTCTCACTCTCTCTCTCTCTCTGTGTCTCCACCTTCTCTGCACTACCATTGACAGAATTACCAAAAGACCAAAAACTTTCAAACAATTGATTGACAATAGGTCTTTCACCAGCAAATGCCATGGTTGGCGGTGTTTGACATTTCAAACGGACTAATGTGATGGGATAATAGGGACGCCTTAAACACCATTGGCATCATTTTCGGCAAATTTTAAATCAAATTATAACTTAAAAGGTAATTTTTCTATTTTAGCTAGTCACCTATTGCATCAAATTTTTTATTTTAACTCAATCCTATTAAAATATTTGTTATTCTTTTTTTTATAATTAAATTGATGACCTATCAACCAAACAATTCTTATGTTTTACAAAAGATAAAACTGAAAGTAATGTAAAAAAATAAAATAAAATAAAAATAAAAAATTTGCCGTTGACCGGCCGGACTTTCGGGCGGACGTCCGATTACACCCAAATCGCGTGTTGTAGCGATGAATAGTTCTTCGTCTCATCAGAGGAGTTATTATAGCAAATTTAACAAAAAGTTAATTTAACAAAAATTTGTTGAGACTGATGCAGGGAGAATTTGATTATTTATTAACTATATTTTAACTTTTTGTTATTTTGAAGATACTGATGCTGATGCTCTAAGGTCATTGGACAAACACGTTGTTTGGTTGATAGATTTGAATTTTTAAAAAAAAAATTGTATAAAATTAGATAAAATATAAATATATTTTATGTTTTTGTTTGTTTCTCTTTGTATATTTCTGCTTAAATCCTACAATCAAACACAGCATTAATTTTTTAGAAAATGCTATGCGACACAGGTAAACCCATAAAGGATATAGCCCACTACTTAGGGCCCAACACATAATTTAAATATTAAAGCCCAACGTCGCTGGAGCTCAACATGGCATTAAGAACCAATGACATCTAAACACGTGGTAAGAGAAGGACAAGTCACATAAGCAGACAAAGATCTTGCAAAGTTATTACACTGCACATCAATTATTAATGAAGTCCCTTATAGCATTTATTGTGATAACTCCTCTCCATCGAGACAGAACGGCCTCACCATGAACAAGGCAAGTTAAAGCATAGACTTTCGACCAAGATGACAGGTCGGAAGGGACAACGAAATGATTACCAGAGGATATAAGCAGGCGTCGAAGACAAGAAGAAGGTTAAGTTTTTCTATTACCAATTCATATCTCTACATTACACTTCTCTCTCTCTTTAACTTGCTTGTCGGAGGGTTCCCTGGGGGACTCCCCGTTCCCCTGTTGAGCTTGTGTGCAGGTTCTTTGGTGGGCCTGAGCACCCAGTTACCGGTTGAAGAGGCGTGGATTAGTCCGACGCATTCCATCTGGGACCCGTTGTGTATAGCCCACTACTTAGGGCCCAATACATAATTTAAATACTAAAGCCCAACGTTGCTGGAGCTCAACATGGCATTAAGAACCAATGACATCTAAACACGTGGCAAGAGAAGGACAAGTCACATAAGCAGACAAAGATCTTGCAAAGTTATTGCACTGCACATCAACCATTAATGAAGTCCCTTATAGTTTTTATTGTGATAACCCCTCTCCATCGAGACAGAACGGCATCACCATGAACAAGGCAAGTTAAAGCATAGACTTTCGGCCAAGATGACAGGTCGGAAGGGACAACGAAATGATTACCAGAGGATATAAGCAGGCGTCGAAGACAAGAAGAAGGTTAAGTTTTTCTATTACTAATCTATCTCTACATTCCATCTCTCTTTGTACCTTGCCCGTCGAAGGGTTCGCTGGGGGACTCCCCGTTTCCCGTTGAACTCTTATACAGGTCTCTTTGTGGGCTTGGTACTTCAGACACCGATTTGGGAAGCGTGGATCAATCCGACCCGTTCCATCCGGAACACGCTGTGTCATCACTATGGATGCCAAACAATTTATTAAATTTAGTGTTAAATCTTTTCCATGTGAAATTAGATAAAATGTAGGTATATTTTATCTATTTTTTTTCTCTTTCCATATCTCTTCTCATATCCTACAACCAAACACAACGTTAATTTTTTAGAAAATGCTATGAATTTCAAATAATCCCAAATAATTTATCAAATTTTCTATTAAATTTTTCACATGGCTGTGGGATTCATCCACAATCATGTGAGAGATCTAGTAAAAAATTTGATATTGGATATCCCTAAATAATTCTAATTTTTTAAAATATTGTCATATATGAAATGTCTAAAAAAAATTAAAAATACTGTTCATATATTTTCTTGTACTTGTTTTTGAATAAAATTATACATATAATAATGTTTGGGAGCTCTAATGGTGAGTCTTACATGATGTGATGTTTTGGCTTGTTTTTTTTAAAAATGATACATTTATCTAATTTAGGAGCTCTAAAAGAACACTAATGATATGAAAAGTTAAAAAAAAAAACCAAGGTCAAAATATCACATCACATGAACCCACAAACTAATTAGAGCCTTTTAATTTAGAATTCCTAATTTTTTTTTTTTTAACACCTCACTAGAGGTCATGTTAGAGCTCTAGTGTTAGAGCTCTTTATCATTATCCTTTTAAATTTTTATAATTTATATAATTAGTAAAATCTATAATTCTAACATTACATTGTTATAATATATATTAGTATATTAATTAATATAATAATTAATTTGTGTAACACCAGTTTTTACCAAACTCAGCCTCCGTTTGGGAAGTGGGTTGGCTTTTTGGCTTTTTTAGCCTGGGCTATTTTAGCCTGGTTTGGGAAGGACTTTTTGGCTTTTTGGCTTTTTTGACTTTTTTTGTGAGAGAGGATTGTAATGATTATAGGTTGGATTTGATGTTTTGTTTTTTGTGGCTAAAATAGCCTATTTTGTTTTTTGTGACTATTTTAACCAAAAAAGCCTGGGCTTTTTCTTGCCAAACGGAGGCTAAAAACCATCTCTTTCTTACTCGGCTGTGAGCCACTTCACCCTCATTGCCATTCACCCGGCAATATATCATCATTGCCTCCTTTTACCGTCAAAAATTTCAAAATCTCTGGCTCTCTCTCTTGATGCAGAAGACGTGGAATCATATCGTTGTTGAAACTCAATTTGAATCTCAACTCAAACAACAACAAAAACAAGTTTAAAAAAAAAAAGTTCCAAAAAGGCTATTTTCAAACCCACTTTCAAATTTGGCCAACTAACCTAAATCCCCCCCAAAAATGTTGCGAAGCTCAGCAATGATTATCCAAATAGAATGGGCAAAGATTGCAATTTAATTAATCTCACTAGGTTCTGGCAGTACTAGATGATCAAACAAAATATTTCATGATCTAACAAATAATATCACATGATATTTCAGTTTATATCAACATTATATACTCTCTGTTTTAAAACATTAGTCTTTTATTTTATTTTTTATTATCTCAAAATATTAATCCTTGTTCAAAAATCAAAGATTAAAATAATATGAATTTCTTATTTTATCATTCTTTTAAATTTATTAACAACACAAAAAATAAAATTATGACAATTGATATTTTTAAGAAAATTACTATCAAAAGATAATTTTGAAAAATTAATATTTTTAAAATACAATAATTGTACTATCAAAAAAAATTATTTTAGGACAGCGAGTATTGTATTCCACAGCAAACAATATTCTGCTATATTTAGCACTTGCCTAACAAATGAAGAGGATCATAATCTTGGAATAATGCCTCCACAAACCAAGCATGTATATATGTAGACGCCCTACAACTGTATTTAGATCATGGATTTAGGGAATCATGAATTCAAGCATTGCCTCAGCATGAAACATGAATAATGACATGAAGCTTTCTTCATTTTTTAGTTACTTGTTCAACACATCGCATTCATTCATTTTCATAGGTTAGTGCTCAAAATTTTAGACTGTAAAGGAACAGAAAACAAACATCATCCTACTATTATTGATATTTATATATCACATCTGATCCAATGAATTTTTTTTTTTTTGGGTGCAAATGGAAAATTTCACAAGAGCAAGAATGAAACAAAGTAGTAGAATACAAGCTGTTTCCTACTAAATTTTAACTCCTAAAACGTGAAATCAAAACACAAATGGGGCAATCTAATTTATGCAGAGAGAGTCCAGATAGTTGCAAGATTGAGCTTATTTGTAGGTTCCCATACCAACAGCAGCTTCTCCACCATATGGTTGGAAGCTTTCCTGGGCCTTGGAAAAGCAAATATAGTAAAGCTCGGAGACTATGAAATTCAAGAAAATGAAAGCTGCCCCTGCCGCAAAAACTCCCTTTCGCAACATCTGGCAAGAGGGGGGGTTTTCACCCCAAATAGTCCGGTACTTGGTGTGATAGGCATTCTCCACTGAACCAGCTAGCAAGCACACCTCCGCAATGAAGAACAACACCCTGAAACGTATTAATTGATGATTTAAGTATGTGTATGAGGTGAACATCTTGAATTATCCTTTCACAGTAATTATTTTAAAACATACGTTTAATGGCCATCTTTCGGTCCAGATATGCGATATTGAACTTTACCAATTCGATCAAAGATCAATATATCAGATTATAGTTGTATGCCTCAAAATCGGAACATAACATACCAGCAGGTAATGAAAAGAAGAACTGCCCAAGCCCTTGAACCTCCAGGCCTCAAAGCCTTCCCGCAGCAGAAACATCGACTTGCTACCATTATAACAACTTGACTGGCCATGAGGACGAAGAATGCACCAACTCCATACCCCGTCGAAATATCTGAGTCGTAGACACAGTAATTATAATTTTTTTCATTGTCTGGTGTGATTGTGGCCTGTCAAGGAAAATTGTCAGATCATTACTTCATTAAAAATATCTACAATTCAGGCAGAAACTGACTGGATTTATAACAATGGATTAGGGGGAGTGGAAATTGGAGGCCCCAGTTCCGACTGCATTGCTTGGTTGCTCAATTTACAAATAAATTTTGAAGAAAACTACATTCCACATAACCCCAATTCAGCAAAAACAATCTGAAGTAATCACTGTGATGTGATTAACTTAGTGGCCCAGAGCCGATGTACTGTTTAACTTACTAGGAGGTCAGTTGTTCAATTCCCCCCTCCCCCTCCAATGTAACCAAAAACATGTAAAAAATCCAAAGTGAAAAACAAGAACGACCCCGCTATGTAGCTCGAAAATGGAGAGCTCGAATGGCTCGAATTTTTTTTTTTTATTCTTTTTCCTTCTCCTTCATTCTTTCTCTTCTTCCTTCCCTCTCTTTTCCCTTCTCCTTCCTTTTTCAGTTCTTAGCCTCACAGCCTCCAAAGTGAAAAACAAGAACAACCCGCTATGTAGCTCGAAAATGGAGAGCTCGAATGGCTCGAACTTTTTTTTTTTATTCTTTTTCCTTCTCCTTCATTCTTTCTCTTCTTCCTTCCCTCTCTTTTCCCTTCTCCTTCCTTTTTCAGTTCTTAGCCTCACAGCCGTCTCTCTCTCTCTCTCTCTTTCCTTCTTTCTCTTCTTCTTTCCCTCTCTTTTTCCTTTTGGGTTTGTTGAAAAAGCCACACAGCCCTCTCTCTCTCTCTCCTCAAACCCAAGGAAGAAGAAGAAGAAGAAGAGATCAAAAAAATAATGGTTCAGCCGAAAATCCACAGCCAAAATTAGCACACACAAAATCAACATAGTTTGCAAAATCAAAATAAAAAAAAAATAAAAAATCAAAATCATCACAGTTTACAAAATAACCCAAAAAATCACAAAAAAAAAAAAAACAAATCAAAACAAAATCAAAACAACCATAGCCGAAGATCAAGCTTCGTCCTCTCCGTCCATAGCGGTGGGTTGGGTCTCCGTCCATGGCGGATCCAGCTTCGGCTTCTCTCTTTCTCTCACCTATCTATTTCTCTCTCGCCTCTCTCTTCCTCTCTTCCTCCTCTCTTTCTCTCGCCTTTGTGTTTCTCTCTCGCCTATCTCTTTCTCTCAAACCAGTTCAAGAAAAAAAAAAAAAAAGAAGTGTCAAAACGACGTCGTTTTGACACTCGAGGCATTCGAACCACTCAACTTTCGAGCTACCACGCATTTCTCAAAAAAGAATCTTGAATTCAGAACCAAAATTTGAATCAAATCCAATCGTAACTAGGAGTAAGAAATTTATATTCTCTTATTTCATTTCCTCTTTCTTTTGTCTTTTCCATTGACAAATTCAACACTGGCTTGATAAAATAATGAACTAAAATCTAAGGAGAGTTAAATTTTGACACGACAAAAACATCAAAAATGAAAAAAAAATAATACATTTTATTAGATACCTAATTGTTAAAAGAAAATTATTCTAAAAGTATTTAAAATTTTTTAGTGTAATATATACAAGTTTACCCCTATTATACCACATTTTAGAGCATGTAGCTTATCATGTTCCCATTCCCGTTCCCGTTCCCATTTCACGTACCGGAACGATCCGCGTTCCAGGTAACATAGGGCTAAAGGGATTGGAACTAATACAAATGGTGTGAACAAACCAAACCAAACCAAACCAAACGAAGCCTTAAGTCCCATCAAATGGGGTCGGCTACATGAATCCTTCTTCTCCACGCGGCCCTATCAAAGGCCATTTCATTAGTCAAATTAAGTAGATTCATATCTCTATTTATAACGCTAGTCAACGTTAATCTAGGCCTACCCCGTCCCCTAACACTTCCATCTACCGTTACAGCATCGCATCTCTTCACTACTGCCTCTGTTGGTCTCCGTTGAATATGACCAAACCATTTCAAACGATTCTCTCTCAACTTATCTTCTATCGGTGCACAAATGGTGTGAACAAACAAAAATAAATAAAGTAAAATACATATTTTAGTGTAAAAGAAATAACAAGACAATATCGTTTTTCCACCTATACGACTAATGAATTATTGATGAAAAGTAGATTAAGTGTTATTTGAATTAAAACTTTAAGAGAGCCAACTTGAGGAGCTTATTGTATTTTGTCCAAAACTCAAAAGATGTTAATATAAATTGCCTTTTTTTTTTGGTACAACGGAGACCATTGCCTGAGAGAGGGGGAAGTCTTATCACAGGCAAGATTCAAACCCTCGACTTCCTAGCGAGATGAAGCTTTAGCATGAAGCTTTAGCAAACCAAGCTAGCCCCAGTAAAACAATTTCATCTTAAGACTTATGTAGAATTTTACATTCTTTGAAACAAAAAGAACATAAAAACAGAATAATCTTTATTTTCCCCCCTATTCTTTCCTTTTCTTTTCTAACCATCCGGAAAATAAAGATCCAAATATCAGTTTTTTACAATTCAACTCACTAAAAAGTAATCATGAATAAAAATTCACTAGTGGCTATATCGATCCGAATGAAAAGTTGTGAACATTGGTGAATTAGGGTAAAACCACTATCATTCTATAGATCTTGTTTATCTAATAGCTATTAGGCCAAAAATGCTGTGAAAATAATGCATTTTACCACCAGCATTCAAATTGTTCTAACAAAATCCAGCAAACTTCTTTCAGTACATGTTATTTATGCTTTTCGGGACACAAATGTATAGTTTGGAGCAGAGACAGCAATAGATCCAGTAATTGCACATCAAATTTAGTAAGAATTCACTTAATTTTGGCTTGGTTGATTGATTAGAAAACTAGAAATACGAAAAAGAAAGTACTGGACAGTCAAATTTCACATAATGTACTAAAAATTTAGTGAAACTCACACAATTAAGCGAAAATAACTAGGTTTACAATTCAAAATCACAAACAATCCACATATATGAATCAAGTTCAACCACAATACATCGCGATTGACCTATATCAATCAGAAACAAGCAAGTTTGAGAGAGAGAGAGAGCTCACAGTGCTTCGTCTCTGCTCAGCAGCAACAGCCAACGCAAAGGCAATGACATCGAAGACGAAGACCGCAATCAGTAAGATCTTTGACGCCATTGCAATGGATTCCTCTTCTTCACACAGACACACACCACAGATCTAGATCTGCACCTTTGCTTACTCTCTCTCTACTATGCGTTTTCTCTCTCTAGATATAGATATAGAGACCGACAGAGAGAGAGACTGGAGTGTTGATGAAGCAGAGAAGCCTGAGAATATAAAACGAAGAAAAAGAGAGTTACCAAAAAGATAAAGACGTTTCAACAGCTGGTTGACAATAGGTATTTCACCGGCAAAACGGACTACTGAATATGTATCCAATAATTTTTTTTTTCAGAAATTCCAAATAAAATATGTTTGGAAAAGTCAATGAAAAGCCATTAGAGCATGTAGTTTTTTTTTAGATAAAAATTTAATTGAGACTTAGAGCTGAGGTTTGAAATTGTATTGGCCTCGTTTATAAACATGCTTTTCTAATAATTTTTTGATTTTTTTTGATTAAAATATGATATAAAAAAATTAATATATTTGATATGACTTTTTAAATTTTTACGAAAAGATATACAAAAAAATAGAAAGAAAAAAAAAATCTTTAACTTTTTGGAATAGGTTATTGACTTTTTATTTTTTTTAATGACTTTTTAGTTTTTAGGTTAAAAAGTAATGTTACCAAATGAAACCTAAAGGCCTGTTTGGTAACGTTTACGTTTCAGTTTATATTTACAAAAATTTTATAAATTAATTTTTGTTTATTTTTAGAAAAACATAAACTACAAACGCGTTTGGTTTAGACAAAATATTTAAAAAAATTTAAAAATATAAAAAATAGTGAGAAATGGCAAGTGGTGGGGGGTGGTGGGTGGAGACGAGTGGTGGCGGCGGAAGACAGTGGTGGAAAGTGGTGGCAAAGATGACGAGTGGAGCGGTAAAGACGAGGTGGATAATGAGGATTGGACGTAGGTGGGTTGGTGGCGAGGTGGGTGTGTGACGGTGTGGGTGGTGGTGAGGTGGTGAGTGGTGGGTGGTGGGGACGGTCGGCTGAGGGTAGCTATGGTGGTGGTGGTGGTCGGTGGTAGCAGGTGTGGTGTGGGCGGTAGGGTGGGTTGAGTGCAGGTGGTGGGCGGTGGGCGGGTGGGATGATGGTGGCGGGATGTGGTGGCTAGGTGGGTGTTGCGGGTGGTGGATTGAGCTGGATCGGTTGTGAGTGTGGTGGTACCTGCGCCCCATCGGATGGTAGCGCAACGGGTGGTGATGGTGTTCGCTCGCAGCCGGTGGTGATGGTTACGGCGGGCGGTGGAACAACTCACCAGGTGGTAAAGTGCACCCGACCTCCACCGACCAACCCCGGCCACCTGCCAACACAACAGGCGAGCGAGCGCCCAGCCGGGTGCGTCGGGCCAGCCTGGTGGGCTGGCTGGGCTGGCAGGCGTGGGTGGTGGTACCCAGGTCCAGGTGGTTCCGGTGGTCGGCAGAGAGCGTGGGTCGGTGGTGCGCGCAGTTAAGCTGCACTAAGTCGATAGACGTTGCGCAGCTAGGAGGGCCGCCATCGTCAGTGGCTGGTGGGTGGTCGGTGGCTGGTGAGTGGTGGTGGTGGGAAGCTGGGCATGGTGCCGGCTGGATGGCAGGTGGGTGGTGATCATGGTGTTCGGTACGCATCACCGGACTGGTAATAAAAGCCGCGACCCAGGCTCCCAGGGTGGTGCAAGGTGGCGGATGGCGGGGTGGTGGCAGGTGGAGGTGATTGGTGGCGGGCAGTGGATGGGTAGTGGCTGGTGGTGGCAGGCTACCAGGCCCGTGCAGATTATGCGCGACCTGGTGGTGGTTCGTGGTGGTCGCTACACTAGGCAGGTCCGGCTCAGTCGGGTACCATCCAAGCTAGCCCCAGCCCCCAAGCGAGCTGGGACGTGGTGGCGGGAATGGGCAGATGGCTCAACTTACGCGACTCTAGTGGGCTTGGTGAGTGTCAGGTGGTCCAGGGCCACGGGGTGGCCGGAGCGTCGGAGCTGTGCGAGATGGCACACGCCACGTGTACAATTAGGTCGGCAGAAACGAGTTGCGTTTGCGGGTTGGTTGCGCTAGTGTTGGGTGGTAAAAAAAAAAAACTGAAAATTTAAAACGTAAACTCATTTTGTGAGTTTATATTTTTTGGCCAAATTTATAAACTGAGACCATTGATTTATAAATTAAAAATTTATCAAACAAATTTTTATTTGAGTTTTTAAAATTTTTGTAAATATAAATAAAAAACAGAAAACGTAAATTTTACCAAACGGTATCTAAGTGATGAAAAATTTATAAAAAAAATAGGATTCAATTTGAAAATGTTTCTTGAAAATAAATGACTTCTGAGAAAAACTCGTCACTCTAATAAAAATCAGAAGTGATTAAGACTACTAAAAACACAAGCCTTAGGCTTATTTTGGAAAGATGGTAAAAAGTAGTTTTTTAGCTTTTAATTAAGTTTTTGATTTTTTTAGATAAATGATTTGGGAAGTTGGTAAAAAGTGACTTTTGACTTTTTTGATTAATGTTTGTTTATGATGTTAAATCATAATAAAATGACCAAACTACCCTCATTTATTTAAAATATTTACGACTTCACCTATGCAACACATTTTGACCCATGAGAGTAAAAGTGTAATTTTACCGTTGGCTAAAAACCAACTTCCCAAATGAAAAAAAAAAGATAAAAAAGTCAACTTTTAACTTTTACTACAAACTAAAAAAAGTGACTTTTAGCCAACTTCTTAAAATAGTCCTAAAAACTCTAATGAGCTGGACAATGTAAAAAAAGAAAAAAATAAAATAAAAACAAGCATCACATCAGCGAAGAGTCACTTCTTTAGTGTTCCGCTAGTGCTTAGTTTTTTAATGTTCCCAGCATTAATCAATAAAAAATTGAAAATAGCAATCTATGTTTGGCATTGTTTGGGAACTTAGTTTGAGGCTAAAATAGGCACAAAAAATAAAATAGGCTATTTTAGTCACAAAAAACAAAACATCAAATCCAACCCATAATCATTACAATCCTCTCTTACAAAAAAAAATCATAAAAGCCAAAAAGCCAAAAAATCCTTTCCAAACCAGACTAAAATAGCCCAGGTTAAAATAACCAAAAAATCAAAAAGCCAACCCACTTCCCAAACGGAGGCTTTATTAGGCTTAGCTCATGATCTAACCTACTAGACACTAGTTGATCTAAATTCACATACCAACTTTTCCGTGTTATATGGATCAATTAAATATTAAAAATTAACTGTTACAAGTTGTATAAATATTTATTAAAAGGATCTAGCTTGTTTCAAGTTGAGATCAAGATTGGACTCGTTTAATTTAGTTTATGGGGCCTATTTTTTGAGCTCGTTTTGATAATTCGAATTGTTCAATGTGTAGAAATCGTCGAGTACTACATATCTGTAAAAAATCACGTTGATCGGATATCAATAACTATGTAATCAAATCAGTTTTATATAAAAAAAATGGACGGTGAAACAATTAATGGTTAATAAAAAACTGTTTTGTTTACATAGCTATCGATATCCGATCAACGTGATTTTTTATAAGCATATAGTACTCAACGAGTTTTACACATTGAACAGTTCAGATTATCAAAACGGGATCCGTGGTGAGCCCCCACGGACCCAACAGCACGGTCCAGTCCGATCTTGGACTGGACCAAAGCCACTGCCTATTAAAACATAATTTCTAAACTAGTATCTTTGGAATTATTACATTTCATTGTACATGACCAATTCTTAATTTTTAGAGAGACAAAAATAAATATTTTTTATTTTTTAAAAATAAAATGTTATTGTAAATTTTTTAGAAATCAAAATTGTATTACAAGATTTTATACAAAATGAGTTGATCCTTCCATCTCAAAATATTAGCATCTTATTTTATTTTTTATTATTTCAAAACATTATAGTTCCTTTTAAAAAATCAAGGATAAAATTAATATGAATTTCATATATATATTTTTAAATTTATTAACAACACAAAAAGTATAATTATGACAATTAATATTTTAAAAAATATATACTATTAAAAGATAATTTTAAAAAATATATATTTTTAAAGTGTAATAATTATAATATTAAAAAACTAAATTTTTTAAAAGAAATTATTATTTTGGAAAAAAAAATATGATCGGTCTACATTTATTTAGGGTGTGTTTGGTAACGTTTACGTTTTCAGTTTATATTTACAAAAAATTTATAAACTGATTTTTGTTTATTTTTAGAAAAACATAAACTAGAAACGCTTTTGGTAATTGACAAAATGTTTAAAAAATTTTAAATATATAAAAAAGAGTGAGAAATGGCAAGTGGTGGCAAGTGGCGGCGGAAGACGGTGGTAGAAAGTGGTGACGGTGGGTGGTGGACAGCTGGTGGTAGTAGTGGGTGGGTGGGTGGCGGTGGAGGGTGATGGCGAGTGGGTGGTGGTGGTGGTAATGGTGGTAGTAGTGAGTGGTGGGTGATGGTGGCAGATGAGTGGCAGATGGCGGGTGGTGGTGGGTAATGGCAGGTGGATGGTGGTGACGGGTGGTGGTGGTGGGTGTGTGGGTGACGGTGGCGGGTGGTAACGAGTGGGTGGTGGTGGTGGCGGACCCTATAAAATTGTTTCTTAAAGTCAGGATTTACCCTTTGACCTAGAACTAAGAGTATCACAATGCAAGTGTCAATGTAGTTACATTATTAGTTCTCTGCTCTAACGAATTTAGATAATGAAAGGATGGAAAAAACTTGGGTGTTAATTTGGAGACATGAACACATGAACAGAGACAACGGGGTGTTTTGGCAACATGATTTTTAGTCACTTTTTTAAGTTTGTAGTAAAAGTTAAAAACCGGGTCGGAAGGGTCAAACGGGTTTTTTTTTTTCGGTTTTACTTTTTTTTTAAAATTTTCTTTCTTTCTTATATATTTATATATATATAAATATATAAGAAAGAAAGAAAATTTTAAAAAAAAAGTAAAACCGAAAAAAAAAGACCGGTTTGACCCTTCCGACCCGGTCCGAGTCACCGGTTTTGCCGGTTCAACCACTGGGTCACCGATTTTTTCCGGTTTTGGCCCCACTCCGGGTTTAGGGGGTTGACCGGACCGAAACAAGGCCCGGTTCCCCGTCCAATCGGTTCGACCGGCCGGTCCGGTCTGGGTTTGAAAACATTGATATAGGCCTATTTTGGAAAGATGTAAAAAGTGACTTTTTGAATTTTAATCAAGGTTTG